AACGGTGCTGCTTTCAGTTGAAATGTATAAAATCTTTCTCTTCAAACAATTTTTCAGGAAAATAGGTTTCTCAAGTCCAGTAGCTCTTTCTATTATTGATGGAGCTTTCCAACTTAAGTTTTTGTTTGAAGTAGTGTGGAACGTCATCATCTTGATTATTCATTAATTTCATATGCAATGTTCAGTACATTTCATAATCACGAAGTTATTGTTTGCAACACAATGCATGTAATTGTATGATCTCCATTTGATCTCTTGGAATCTATCCCTTATATACCTATCTCGTAGAAAAAGGTGCGTGATCTAGTGTACTCTATGATGTCTTCAGCAAAAAATGAACTCTTTTTTTGTCTTCGAGGCACATTAAAGTTTCATAAAGAAACCTGAAAACGTAGGAAAGAAAGATAAGAAGGCTGAACTTTTATGTAATATCAGTCCTCCTATATGATAGTGCATGCTGGAATAGAGGCAATAGAGATGTGGTTTTACAGGAGGATACTGAGAATGAAATGAACCGAACTTGCACGCAGCGAAGTATTAAGGAAAATAAGAATGAAATGACACTTATACATAGAAAGCGACAGTTGGAATTTCTGGCGTGCATAAAGAGAACAGAGGGTTTGGAGAATTTGACACTCACAAGATATAATGAAAGCAAGGCGTGTAGATTGTAATAACAAGTAACTTAGCTAACAAGATTGAATAAATATTTGACATAATATGGGATGAGAGAGATACTAAGTTGGCAAGTATTTCTCAGCGCTAGAAATAGTAGGAAGTTGTGAAGAGCCATGATCTCCTACGCCCGGAATGGATAAAACACATAAAAGAAGGCACCTAAAAAAGAATTATCGTTAGTATTTACAGAATAATGTTTGATTGATTTAGATTGTATTCGAATGCAGTAATGTCAAGTACCCTGGATCTATCGTAAAAATTTAGCATGTGGAATTAGTAACTCATAGACACTTCAAATACTTGGGTGCATGGATCAGTTATAACAAATATATTATAGAGGATAAAAAAATTGAACATACAATAGTCTGTGTTATGGGTAGTTTCCAACAACACCGCCAATTGTTCCAAAGCCAAACAAATTAACCGAAAGCCTGAGTTTTTTCTCAATTGAACTCGGCAGATGGAAACTTTAATCTAGATATCATGGACGGCTCCAAATTCGTTCAGAAATATCTAGACTGCCAGCTGTATACAACCGTTTTCCCAGATCAATGGTTAAAAATATCTTTGAACGAATGAATCCTGTAGGTCTTAGCGAGGACTGTGCTTGTTTGAGACCCGTGAACTGGCGCTACAGAAATACAAACAAAGAACTGTACCAAATAACAGAAACCACATCACTTGAGGACTTACAAGAACAACAACAACTAAAATGGAGAGCACATGTAATTCAAAGAGAAATTAATGAAGTAATCAAGATGTTGACGTTCCACACTACTTCAAACAAAAGGTTAGGTAGGAAACTCCCATCTATACTGGAAAGAGCAATAACACCTACTGGACTCGAGAAACCTATTTTCCTAAAAAAATGTTTGAAGAGAAAGATTTTATACATTTCAGCAGCATCGTGTTCTCGGTCAATGATTGCCAACTCTTTCCTTATAAGGTAACGGCTATTCTAACAATTACCATCAGTGTAATAAAAGGATTTGAACCTAAATAGTTAATCCTGTAGCAATTTTCAAGTACGTCTAATGCTAAGTCGTTGCATCCACTATACTTTTAATTACATACTGACATATCTAACCCTGGCCACAATGCTGATATGTTTATCTAGAGATCGACTAAAAGAAATGCATACGGCTAAAGAACTTAATGACATTGAACCACTGACCTGATGAGCCAGGTTTATCTCCACTTAACTGACCTAGTCGCCCCACCCCCGTCTTTTACCGACACCACATCGATTCAATTAACCGCTATTAAATGCTTGCAGCAACGTTTGAATTTATGGTGGGGGCTTCCATTTAGTTAGAAGATCTCAGACAAAGTAATTAGCAAGATGGCGATTTAGTTAAAGACGCGTTCTCAAAGCGGCCATTGATATTGTTAGCAAATGGTTGAGAAGAAAACAATCGCTATAGCGAAGACGTTTTACTATTTGGGAAAACAGATGGTGGGATGTTGAAAAGTTCTCGGCCGAACCCACTTACTCAAATCAGACCAAATAAAAATAAAAAAATCTCATTTAACCGGCCAGGAAACCTTTCAACATCTTGTATGAGTTTATTTAGTAAATTTATTTATTTTTATTTTTAAAATTTTTAAAACTTAAAAAAATTTTAAAATTAAAAAAAAAAAAAATTATTGTTTCTCCAGTATTAGGCCCAAGAGCCACTCACTGTAAAAGGTTACTAAATGAATTATAAATAATGGTTGACCCGAGATTTGCGAAGGTTAAGATGATATCGGTCGGGAAAGCATCCTCTTGAGAGTCAGTTCCATAAAGCTGCGGCTGTTGGGAAGAAGCGTTCGAAACAGAACTGCCTTTTTACCAGTAAAATACATAGGAAGTGAGTATGATTCGACCCTGATAAGTGGACAGGCGGGTCCTAGCTGTAAAGGTCTGAACTGTTAGCATGTAGCTCATCAGAACATTTTGCAATGGAAATAGCGATAGAGTAGTGAAAGGCTTGCGACATTTCGTCTGTGAGAAAGGATTTGTGAGGTGGAATATAATTCATCACCCACAGGGCCGAGTTGAATCTTTTGAACACTGTCAAGGCTGGAGCATAAGATCGATCTCTGATAAGGAAGCCATATTCTAATTTTGGTTTGGTCTCACTGCGTAAAGATAGAGCATGTTAGCCAGGTACTTCATGGAGTAGTACAAGGAACCTCCTATATGTCGACCTTCTTTAATAATAGATCCAAGAAAACTCTTTCTTCTGAAATTCTCAAAGCATTTACAGCTTAATATATGCTTACTAAATACAGGGTGCTGTAGAACCACCTCCCACATATACCGCCCAGAGATACCTCCCATATAATGTTAAGATATTAGCTAGATTACGACATCATTGTCGCTAATGTCTTACCTTTATATGAGAGGTATTTCTGGGAGGTATATCTGGGGGGTATTTCTGGGAGGTATATGTGAGGGTATTTCTGGGAGGTATATGTGGAGGGTATTTTTGGGTGGTATATGTTAGGGGTATTTCTGAGAGGTATATGTGGGGCTATTTCTGGGAGGTATATCTGGAGGCTATTTCTGGTGGTATATGTTAGGGGTATTTCTCGGAAGTATATGTAGGAAATTTTTCTTCCGCACCCTGTACATATATATATATATATATATATATATATATATATATATATATATATATATATATCGTGCAATCATTTTATATAAGACAATATCGAAAATGGTTTATATTCTTCTTTTATATACCATTTTCAGGACGTGATCAATCATGGCTCCCCGCAACTGCCTATTGCTCGTAACTCTAAAACATATTTAACCCCTTGCTACACTCCATCTCCTTGTTATTCCATACGTTTACAAAAGCTCTTTAAGTAGGTTTTTCATTCCTTCCATAGGCTCCTCTAAATTTCAATATATCCTGTGAGCAGGACGGTCTCAAAACCTTTTTCCCTCATTATACGTCTCAGAAACTAGTATTTCTTTCTGAGTCTAAGCACAATTGTCCTTTTTTGTTTCCTTCGAAATCACTGGTCAATTTCTTTGTTTCTTATTTTTTGATTCAGATTCGATTCTGTAGATCCAATTTCTTACTGTGCTGCTGCAAAATAATAGTTTGCCCGGGGCCCAAAAGTAAGTATAATCTAACACATGACTTATGAAGTTTCATGTTAGAGAAGTCTCACTGAATGACGCTTCACTCTCGGGTAGATAAGTCGAGATTGATGGCAATGAAATCAAAACGAGTATAATCGATAATACGCCGGGATGTATCAGATAGTAAACGTAAACTATTCAAAATAATATATAGCTTGATTATGTTATTCGCTTTGATGTTTGGCTTCCGTGTGAGATATGTTCACCAAATATAAAGAAAACATCGCGTTTAATTGAATAGATTGTGGCGGTCAATGAAAAGGGGATACTTTAGAACAGTGTGAAGCGTGAGTTATTGTGGGAGGAGCGAGATGAAAAACAAATAACCGTAAAGAAAACCGGCCTTCCCGCAAAGAAGGTGGCGCTAGGTAAATAGTAGGATTAGGGGAGAGTTTTCTATCAAGATCTTCTTTCGGAGAAGTAAACGATCGATTCGAACAAGTAGATTCGAAAACAGGAATGGATGAATGGTGACTGGAATTACGTAGGCGAAAAAGGATTGCATTTTGTTCAGATTGTATTTTGTTCAGATTGCATTTTGTTCAGATTGCATTTTGTTCCGATTGCCTTTTGTTCATTGACCATCCGAAGTTGCTAGTGCTTTGTTGAAAATGTTTCTCTTAGGTGACATAATCAGCCAAAATGTCGCCTTCGGATTACCATACATTCTCTTTTACAGAATTCATTTAATAAATGAAATCATCCTAAGACTGTAATTGACACCATGAACAGTTCTTTGTTGATAAAAAAAAAATGTCCCAGGAGGATGGAACTATGAAGTTGTCTGAAAGATGGAAGACTATTTTCATTCTAAAGCATTTTTCCCAAAGACGCATTGTTGAAAGCCGGTCGCTACTCTACCCCTATTTCCATGTCAAATGTTCAGATAAGGGTTTCATTCTTTATTTCTACCAGTTCAGATCTTTACAGCTAAAATCCGCTCTACTATATCCAAAGAGTCAAAATACAATGTTTCTCTTATTATTCCATTTGTAAGGAAGAAGTTTCACTCAGACAACTTCTTCTCAAGAACACCTACTTTATGGAATATACACCCGTGTGGTTGATTCCCCGAAGACTAAAATGTTAACTTGTTCAAGTTAATCATTATGTCTCCTCCATATCCTCATAAACTTCATTTCATTCTTCCTCCTCTTACGCCCATACCACTGACCTCATTGGCTTACGGTCATATCACGTTGAAACTTCTGTTCTGTTACGATCACTGAAGTTAAGCAACATCGAGCCTAGTCAGTACCTAGATGAGGGACCGCTTGGGAATACCAGGTGCTGTAAGCTTAGATGTTGGAATTGGAGATGGGAGAGCCAAGTTAAAATTCCAGTCGGCTTCGTTAAATGCATTTATGCGCAAATGACGTTGGGCAAAATATGAACCCATCTCTTATACCCCAAGCTATGGGTTAATTATTAAGACATTTATCAGTAAATCACTATTATCACAAAAAATTCTTGCATTGACCTACAAAAGTTAATAGGCCGTATACAATCAATCCCATCATTCAAGATTTCTCTACCTTGATTGACTATTGATCCGTGTATTGTAGTAAAAAATTAAAAGTACACATATTGTTAAATAAAGATAATACTGAGAAATAAGAAAAACTCGTCTTTTATTTCCTGTTGTGGCCTGTTTAGAGGTAAAAAAAAGACAGAGAAGACGAAGTTAGGTTGACACAAATGTACTGAAATAACAGATATATACAAAGCAACAGTGTTAGTAATATGCCGTTAGAGGTAGACGTCCGAACGGTTTAAGCTAACCAAAATATCCTTTTTTGAACTCGGGTTATATTAAAACAGTCCCCTCAGACAGTTCGAAGAAGTCGTACACAGTCAGAGATGCTCTGCGACTGGTATTTAATATCCCACCCACGAGGAATAAGGCAAGGTCGAGTTTAATGTGGGTTTCTCCGAGCCCGTAAGCTCGGCCAAAAATACCCTTTGAACCCGCCTTTCAGGAACCCGCACCTTGCCCTTAAGCTTTGTCCGGGTTCCTCTCTGGCAAAGCAGGTTCGTACACAGGGATCTGACTCGGTATTTAATAGACCCCTCACAAGGTCGAGTTTAGTGGGTTCCGTCTCTGCCAAAGCAGACAGGGTTCGACAAAAGAAGCTTTGTCGTACACAGTCAGAGACTGCTCTGCGACTCGGTATTTAAGTGGGTTTCTTATCCCACCCACGAGGAATATATGTGGCACAAGGTCGAGTTTACACAGTCAGAGGCGACTCATTATTTTCTCCGAGCCCGTAGGCTCCGAGCTGTAGGCCAAAAATATACCCTTTGAACCCGCCTAGACGGGTTCAGGGCCTATCTACCTTCCCGGACAAAACCTTGCCCTTCGGTATTTAATAAAAGGAATTTGTCAAGGTCGGGTTGTAGGCTCGGCCCGACCCTTTGAACCCTCTGGCAAAGCAGACAGTTCGACAGAAGTCGTACACAGTCAGAGACTGCTCAACGACTATCCTGTAGGAAGTCTCGCAGTTAGTATTTATGAAGGAGGAAGAGTTCATTCTACTGTAGGAGAGTTTACTACAAATATCTTAAACCGAACGAATTTTTTATCCGACTCACCATAATGTCATGTGATCATTGTATATATTCCACTCTCATTGACCTTTGTAAACATTCGATGGAAATATTATAGACAGAAACAATTACCGCATTTGACAGCATATAAAACGCACGGGTGTATAAAACGCACCTCAATTTCAGTAGGGGAAATTTAGAAAAAAATAGCAATTAGTAAAATTAGTAGAATTATTATTAAATGGTACAGCCTAGGCTATATTTATTTTGATTAAACAAACCATGGTTACAATTAAACAAGAAATAATAAGAAAAAAGAACAATTTATTATATTCAAAAGTAAGAAAACAAAATAAAAATCCATCAGTTATTACAATTGAGCAAAACAGTACAGTTACCATTAAAATTTTATTCATCTTCAAATCCATAAAATCCGTCGTCTTCGTTATCAAAACTCTGATGCCCATTTTCAATACTACTATCATCGTCGTTAAATAATGTGTCATCTTCCGTTCCATTGAGAGCATTGCTAATGCCATACTTTTTAAAAGATTTCACAACAATTTCTGGACTAATATTATCCCAAGCAAGCTTCTTCCATTCGCAGATTTGTGCAATACTGGGTCGTTTATTCTTCTTGTAAGGTTATAATCAGGCATTGCCATACACGTGTTCCATTGCTCGGTCATGTTTAAGTCTAAGCTAATAGGAGTTGTCAGGTAGCTAATTACGGCCGATTATCGTGAATTTTAAACCTACATATGACATATGAGATACAGGGGAATCTTAAAAGATATTTTTAGTAAAAAAAAGTGCGCCTTATATGCCGTCAAATATGGTAATTAAACTCCATGAATTTTATGAAAGTAAAATAAAGCTCCTATTTCTCAGTCCTGTGTTAGGCTCTATATGAAATAGATTAATTAATAAGAATAAGACATTTTAAAAAAAGTGATAATGTTTGCTTTCTTAAAAACGATGACGATTCAGTTTACACCCTATCTGCCAGGAAAAACATTTTTTCATAGGACAAGATATCATGACACGGTAGAGATTATAATCGTGTTGATTTTTAGAGAGTTGGGGTTATCATGGCGGATATAGAGATTCGCGGATCAAATAAACGTAAAGTTATTCGTGGAGTAGACGCTTCATCGTTAGCAGTGAGAATGCAAATGCAAAGAGAAACAGAAATAGGCTGGAGTTGCGGTGTCAAAAAACGTGATACTGTTGTCAACCGATATCTGTCCTACTCGTTTTGATAATAACTCTCTCACTTCCGCCTTCCAACTGCCTTACAATCTCACTCTGTAATGCCCTATCTCTTAGGCTTGTATTAAGTAAACTATCAGTAAAAAATAAAAAAAAAAGACCTGTCAATCTCTTTAATAAAATCTCAAATGTATATGAAAAAAGATAAGTGTATGCTGTACCTATTAACGATTCGAACTCTTTCGTCACATATCGCTATTTTGCGTTGCAGCGAGTTACGGGCCGGTGAACGCGTTGAAATGCCCACAACCAACATAGTAGACTTGGGATATGAGTCCACGTAAAAAGATGTAAAGAAAACAATATGGGCCAATATATATGTGCAAACAAATGATAATGTCTTAATAAAAAAACGTCTTACTGAACAATGAACATGAATGAAGAAAATATTTAACCTAGTGAATTGTTTGCGTATGTGTAGGTAGATGTAGGAAAAAGTCCTATGAAGTGAAAGGTGTGTACGTAGATGTGCGTGTGTGTCTATTGTTCATGCGTTTCCCAAAAGGGAACGCGTTCTTCCGCGAGAGATTTACATGTGCAAGCGGAAATAATGAGAAGGAAGAGAAAAGATATCGCCGAGTATTTATAGTCCAGACAGCGTCCCCTGGTAGCGGTTTCGAAAATTGGGAGGAAGTAACCCGACACAGAGTAAATATTCTCATAAAATGTGTATTTCATATCTTCCTACGATTCTTTATATAAGGATCTTAAGGTTCGCGTGCTTAACAGATCGTTCAGTGTTTGAAAGTTATGTTTGTGTGTGTGTCTTTGTGTGTGTGTCGTGAGTGGGGGGTACCACACGTTAAACACAACTTTGGATTTCATTATTTTATTATCCGCGGAAATCTTAAACAAAATGTAGTTGGTTTTGTTTAACGCACGTCATTGATCAGAACACTAGTGAAATTAACTGGTTCACATGTAAATAAGACAATATATTTTGGTGTGAGTTTTTGCGGATAATCAATCGTTAGACATTTCTTTAGCCGTGACATTTCTCATAATCGAAAAGTATTAATTGTTTATACGTTTTAATATAAGTAAAGTGCCAAATCTATCTCTGTCATCTTAAAGATTTCTCTGTACTTTGTTATTTACAAATATTATGCTTGAAACTGTGTTTACGTCATTGAAAACTGCGAAATAATGATATGGTACTTTCCTGAATTTCGTAACGGTACACAGTTATCAATGACGTAAGCAAACTCTGTAAGAAGTCAGGTATCGATTTGACACCGTACTTATATTACGTACAAGGAGCCCTCCCCCGACCCGCAGAAAATGAAAAATAAATTTGATTCTGGAAAATGTCATCGGCAGGTGAATACTAATTTAAAAGAATCTTTTAAAGTAATGTTTTCGTTACTTTTTTTTCTTTAAGACCGAAACAGGTTTTTTTTTTTTAAAGCATTTCACTCCAAGCCAGGCGGGAAGCCATTAGCACGCAAGGGTTTACAGAGGATTTGGAGAGAGAGAAGATAGGGGTGATACAGGAAAGGATGAGGAGAAGAATAGTGGATAGATCAAGTCAAATGGAGATGTCGATTGACATTACATTTGAATAGTTGTAGATTATAGCTATCAGGGAAACAGGAATAGGGAAGGTAGTTAAACAGGCGAGAGGTGCGAGATATGAAGCTATTGGAGTAGAAGAGACAGCTACATTTAACAGTTTCAACAGTGAAAGGATGAGAGCGGGATGCCAGCCTCGTAGGACGCTTGAATTCATGAAGTCTGGGAACCAGCGCAAGCAGCTCATCGGAGCAATTTCCATGTAAAAAAGACAGATAGAGTCGACGGCACGTCTGTGAGAGAACAACTGAAGACGAGATGCCAGATCAGGGCCAATTACATTGCATATCCGTCTCTGGATTTTATCAATTGTAAAGACGATCAACTTAAAGAGGAAGCGCTGAAGCACTTATATACAAAGATGTATTCAGAGCAGTCTGTTTTGGTTAAAAGATTCGAGCTAGCGGAAAGCAATCTACAAAAACTCCTTCAGAAGGAAAGCAAAAATGGATTAAGCATCAATTGCAAGAAGAGAGAATGACTGGCTGACAGTAAACAGATGAGCCTAAAATGCAAATTAGAAATTGGTAAAGCCAAAATCCAAAAAAATCCAAAACATTTAATCTAGAGGGAGAAAAGTGCGACATTGAAATCCGAAGGCGCACTAGAATAGCCAAAGATGCCTTCCAAAACCTTAGCAGAGTATTAATAAACAGAAAAATCTTTAGAAACAAAGAAAATGTACTTACCTGTTATGTGATAGTTGTCCTCCTATATGGCATTGAATTCTGGGCTATCACCTCAAAGACGAAGAAGAGACTTGAAGCAACAGAAATATGGTTATACAGGAGGATGTTGAGGATACCACGGACTAAATATGAGCTAAGTTTTAGAGAAATCGGAAACAAAAAGGAAACTTATACTTAACAATAGGAGCAGACAGTTGAAATTTTTAGGGAAATGAGG